AAAAAATTATTGAAATGCAAGCTTAGGAGAAGGAATTCATAAAATTAAAATAAATAAATAGTTTATTGAACATATTGTCATTCCAATGCTATATTTTGAACACTATCGTTATCTCCAACTAACAAGCCTATTTTTCACTTCAAAATACTGTACAGTCATATCAAACAGTAATTCATTTCCAATCGAACTTCATTTCTAACATAACGAAAAAGTATTATGTGTATATTGCATGTTTTCTTCACTATTTTTATTATATCAATTTATAACATAAAAAGTAGGCATGTAAATAGTGGGACTAAAATATCGGGGTAGCACTATTCACAGTCACAAAAAATGTGTTTCCATTTGTAAGAGCCACAAACTGGCGAATGACGTTTGGTTGAAGATGCCCTATATATAATATAATTATACTACCACTTACAGTTTTATGTAGTACCTGCATTTGTATTTTGATCGAAGGGCGAAGAACCATAAATAACTTTTCTCCTGTGAAAGGATCCACTTCCTCCATTATAAGGACCCTGAATCCCAGCGATCCCTTCTGCCATAAACTAAAATGAAATGGATTAATTAATGATTTACAAATCAAATTAAGCAAAATCTTACTAATATGTGGTATATTGGAGGATAAGAAAAAGTTAAGTTGATATTTTCATTAATTTTAAGCCAAAAGAAAATATAAAACCTTTTGGAAGACCTCCAACTGATTTCCAAAGGGATCATTCTTAAGACCTCCATAAAACATTTGAGGGATTTGAGCATAGCCACAGGACCTCTCTTCATCAAAGCCGAGTAGAAGGCACATTCCATGGAGTATTACTTGGTGATTATTAGCGAACATGTCACAATCCACATTTAGAAAAAATGGAGCATTCGTCATCAATGCTGAGACTCTTGTCTGCATGCAACATCAACACAATTAGATGTTCAATACAATATTTGCTTTATTCAACTAATAAGTTTCTAATTGTTCAAAATGTGAATAATTATACCACTTATAATCATATATATTGTATTAGATTGAAGTGGGTGTCAATATTTGACACGATACGAAAATCCGACCCGGACCCGACCCGAAAAATTCG